CCTCAACACTTCATGTCTCAAAGTCCAAAGATCATCTCCTCTTTCCCATTTGTTTCCATAGTATTTTAACATTCCTTTATCAGAGCACTTATCCCACTGTATATTAGAAAGCTCTTCTGATCCACCTCCCGTCCTTTCAGCCTAACATTTTACTCCAGCAACCGGTTGCACTTAGCAAGCTGACAGCACCTTGCCTCAGCTGCACTGCTATCTGTTGCTTCCTGCCCCAGGGCTTTGCTTCTGCCTTAGCTGTGTGGAACATGTGCAGGAACCCACTTAGCCATTCTCATTGATGAATAAATGAAAAGCAATAAGAAAAGTTAATATATATTGTGGTATATGAGAAAGCCATTTGGTTTAAAACTAATTCGGCCTGACCTTGTTTTTCCAGAAAAGCCTGATGTGGCCTGTCGAGCATGCATTGTACATCTGCTTTAAACATTTGCAATGTCCCAAAGCTGAGAGTGATGCTCTTAAAGATAGGGATGTATGCCTCCCCCATATCAGCATTCCATTTTAGTTAATATTTCTTCCCAGAAACTAAAGATTAATTACTGAGTGTTGTGCTCATCTTGTGACCACTGGCCTGCTGTGCTAGCAAAGCATCTCATGACAGTAGTGAAGGAGATATTCCTGTTATATGTGATGTATGTTCTTTGTTCCAAGATGCTATACAAGCGCTCTGTACAGCTCGCTTCTTCGGAGTGCTTCCTTCCTTGGTGAAGGTCATTTTCTCCTGGGCTATCATCCTCAAAACTAGCTCATATAATAAACTCATCCCACTTTTGCTTTATAGATTGATTAGGAATTATTTATGTCAACATCATACTTAAACTACCCTGGATATGTGAGGGAACTAACGCCCCAGGGGGCAGCTCTTGACTAAGGAGGATGAGAGTCAGTGGGTAAATACTCCTCTCTTTCATCCTTCAGGTTACAGTTCTGAGGTCCCTTCCACACAGCTCCTCAGAGGGTCCCTACAGGGGTCAAATTCCAGTTGCCCGCAGCAGTGGCCAACTAATAACACGCCTTATATTGCCTTTCCCTCATTTCCTGATTTGCTCTTCCTAGTTCCTTACTCCTGTTTGGAATTACTTTACCAAAATCAACCTACATGTAAGCCCTTGTCCCAGGTCTGCTTTATGGGGAACCCAGGCTAAGTCAATTGTTATCTGAAGTGGCCCTAGAAAGTAGCCCATCAGGATGGGAATCAGGAACTGTATCACTCATGGGGCATTCAGTGATATGGACCCCACTGGTGGTGGTGATGACCCTGCTGTAACATCACAGTTACTAAGACTTTCGCTGGTGGTAGACTGGCTTGAGGAGCTGGTCAGGGTCAAACATCAGTGTAAGTGACAGCACTTCACATAGAGGCATTGGTAATAATAAGGACTGTGGAGTTGACTGCTTTTTTTTTAACAATTCTGACATTGCAGTAATTTGATTTGATATTTCTCCATTAATAAAAAATGACAATTTGGAGAGGATTCTAGGAATATGGTGGAGTAGGAAGCACCAGGACTCTGTCTCCCCACCTAGACAACAATTGCACTGGACTGTCTGATATAACTATTGTGGAACACTGGAGTTTTTTGAAGGTGGAGTTGACTGCTTTTTGAGAAAGGCTTTAGAAGTCTTGAAAAAGGAAAATTGCCAACTACAAACTCAAGGCACAATGTGAGCATCAGAAAGATGCACGGCAACAATATGAATAAGCCCTATTTCCAGCAGCTGAAGGGCAGGCAGTGTGGAAAATGAAGCTAATGGTAAGGGTAGCTACACTACAAAGGAGACTGAATGCCCAGATTTGATAGGTCTCCTATGTTGAAATGAGGGGCC